TTTTTTTTTCTTTCTTTTTTATTTATTTAAGATATATTTATGCATACAGAAATGGAGTATAGGCCAGAGGTGTGGTGGGTGAGGGGATTTACCAGAGACAGAGTGAGGAGAAGAACATGCAGATTGGTGAAGTACACTGCGGAGGGAAGCCAAGTGGGCAAGTCAGGAGAGGTCTGCCTCACCATGTGGGTCAGCTCCCTGGCTGGGAATCAAACTTGTGCAGAAGTATGCTGAAGCAGCTGCGGCCAGCTTTGTAGTGCTGCACTTTAACCCATCGTGTCACCAGGGAGGGCCTGGCTTTTCTATTTTAACCAAACATATATGCACTTAACTTTCAAAAGTATTTCACATAGTATTGAAAGACAAGTTTACACTATGGGAAAACTCAACCCCTTTCCTCACGACAGAATAATTTTGAACACATGTGCCTCTTCTGTACATCTCTGGTTACTTTCCACATATTCTGCCATTGGAAACTGTTGAAGTCTCCCGTTCCTGTTTTAGCCTCCATGAGTTATTCTCTTACCTTGTGGTGCAGCTATTGAAAGGCTGCCTCTGCCATCATGTTAAGACTTCCTTTCACCTCTCTTACTTTTTTTTTTTTTTTAAGATTTATTTATTCATTCATACAGAATTGGGGTACAGGCCAGAGATGCGGAGGGTGAGAGGATTCACCAGAGATAGAGCGGGGAGCAGAACAGGCAGATCCATGAAGTACACTGCTGAGGGGAGCAGCGGGTGGGTCAGGAGAGGTCTGACACACCATGTGGTCACCTCCGGGGCAGGCGGGGATCGAACTCATGTGGAAGTGGCTTTAGCTTCTTAGTGCTGTGCTTTAACCCGCTGCCCCACCAGGGAGGGCCACTTTTCTGTTTTTTTTAAGGAGAGCATTTATTTAATTTTGTGGCTTTTTTTTTTTTTATGATTTATTTGTGCATACAGAACGGCGTACAAGCCAGTGGTGTGGGGGCAGTAAGAGGATTCACCAGAAGAGACAGCAGGGAGCAGAACAGGCAGATCGACAAAGTACGCCGCAGAAGGGAGCAGTAGGCAGGAAAGGAGAAGTTTGTTCTGCCAACGCCATGTTGGTCACCTCCGCAGCAGGGATCGAACTCGCACTGAAGTGGCTGTCGCTAGCTTGCAGTGCTATATCCTAACCTATTTCACCACCAGGGAGGATCCCTCTCTACTTTTCTTGTGCTGGTTGTTTCCTAGATTCCATGTCTCTTTGATTTTTTCCTTTCATTTTGATGGAACATATACTCTCATAATTTTTGATAAAAGAATCCCTTGAGAGATAAAATTTGAGTTCTACATATAAAAATGTCTTTATTCTTTAATACTCATACTTGAGAGGCATCCTTTTTCAGATACATTGTATGTGACTTTATTTTCTTTTTCCTGGAAGCATTTGAGTTTACCTCTGCATTCTAAAATTTTATGATGCTGTATGTTGGGCGTTCTCAGCTAAATAATCATAAAATGTTTTGGAACATTTTATGCTCTTTCACTGAAACTTACTGTTTAGATGTTGAGCCTTCTGGATAGGTCTTATAATTGTCATATTTTCCCCTATCCTCATTTTTCTTTGTTACATTTTCTGTATTATTTCCTTGAGTTTTTAATTTACTTTCCTTCCAGATAATTTTTAACTTAAGAACAAACAAAATCAAGTACTAGGCACAACCACATTTTTTCACCCTCTTTTATACTAACAGCAGATTACTGAACACCTTTGTTCTACATCTTTTGGAGAACTAGAGAGAAAAATTATTCTTGGAAAACAAATTATTCATTCAAGACTATCACAGAAGTTTGAAATTAATTAAGATAGAAGTTCAGAGAAGTAAAGCAGTAGTTAGTTGGCTCTCGATCTTCAGCAGTCAATGGCCACATTTCTAAGTGGAGGCATGTTCTTAATGCACTAGTAACTTTCTGCATTCTCATCATCAGTATTGACTGCCGCAATCATATTGATAGGATGAACTTTGATAAGAATGAACTTGTCTGTTTTCCTTTGAAAGACATCCCAGAACGCTGATAGGCCTTAAAAATCATTCTTTAAAAATTTTATAATTTGAATGTTAATGAGACATTAGCTACTAATGAAGTTAACTAGATAATTTTTGGACAGGAATGCTGTAAAAGCACAGAATACTCTTCTGGTTGTATTAACTATAAAACGTGTAAATTTTCTAATTTCGTTCAGAATTGGAACCCCTTTGTAGATGCTAAAACAAACACCTCTTTTTGCCACCAATTCACACTGTTGCTTTTTCACATACAAATTTATCCTTTTGAGCTTTACACATCAGGGAAAGAAAGAATTTCTTCAACAGAATTCTATAGCTTTGAAACTAAACCAGATTGATGGACATAAAAGTTCTCTCCAGTGTTTTGTATTTAAAACCACTTGTATGTGACCTCGATGCATTTCATATATTAGTGCTATATAGAATGTCATTTACAATACTGGCAGTTGACTCCAAATACAAATGTTCTGTAAAATAAGATAAGTAAATAATTTCTTAACTTTTATAGGTATCTGAAACCAAAAGATGGCTTTATTCTTAAAAGGGATTGAAGCACTCCCATTGAAATCAGGATCAAGACAGGATGCCACTATCACTAAACTGTTTTTCTATATTAGTCACTGCAGTTAGATTAGAATAAATTGAAGCTATAAAAATTAGCTTAACCTTTTTTACTGATTTTTTAAAATTATGTTTAAGAAAGAGCTATTTTCTTCATGAGATAGTGCATCTCTTACTCTTATTTTCTTAGAGTTGTTAATTTGGTGATTTCAGTAATAAATTCACTAGGTTACAACTGTTACTTGTTTCAGGGGAAAAAAATCATTCTTTCCATAGGTTTTTGTTAGTTTATCACTTATTTCACTTTCAAAATTGGAATGCTTGGGTTTTATTTCCTATAAAAAGTGATTCACATTTTCAAAAGGAATGCCAAAATAGTTCAGTTAGCGAGGGGAAAAAACACCTTCCCCTTCCTCTTTAATGTGCCTGGTATTCTGAAGTACAGAGGCTTCTAGTCCATTTTCTTCATGTATGTTTAGATAATAGAGATAAAATGCAGAGTTAAATTGGATAGCTATATTTTTCATATAGAATACTAATTTTAAGTAGAAATCATGTTAAGTCATAACCATTTGGAATCTGAAACATTTATACATTGATACATAATTCTGACCCTAAATAAAAGTTTTCTCAGCTTGTCATCATTGTGAATATCATTCTGGTGCCTTTTTATGTCTTCTTTCTCCTCTTGCCCAACTTGTTTGGCTTAGCCAAATAAATAAAAATTATAATAGTAAGCGCTAATAGCAATTTTTTAACACAAACAACATTCCTAGCACTTAAGTCACATGCTTTGACATATTTTGTTTTCAGTTTAACTTTCAAAATAGTTTAGTGAGATCTAAGTTACTATGACACTATTTTACAGGTAGAAGCTCTTATGCGCCTCATATAGTAGCATTAGATTTTGAAGTCGTGTACTGTCAGCTGTCTCCCAACATTGTAGCCACATTGCTTCTTATCAGATTGAAGGCCTGACTGTTCACAGGCTGAGAAAAAGCAAAATTCTCTCATTTCATTTAGTTCACAGATGTTCTAATTGTCTATAGCTACTCAGTAGGCCTTCTTTTATTAATATTAGTGTTTCAGATATATTAAGGGAAAGTAGTATACCAGATGGATGGAATCTTTAGGTAAAAGCTGTTTAGGTGTGAAATAAGTTATTTCAACTGGATTTGTTTATCTTCTTGAGACCTAAAAGACTTACAGTAGCCCTTTTAACTTGTAAGATGTGTGAATAAATTTCATGAGATTGTTTCAAGAAATAGATGCAAATCTGACAGAGTAATTTTCTGCTTAATGTCCAGCACTTTGTAATAGAATTTTTCATTAACTCATGAATTAATTCATCCTTTGAGAAAAGGTTAGCCCTAAATTTTGTAGTCATTAGTGTTATGATTCATTTAATTTGACCATTTTAAACTATTTAAAATAACAAAAACAATGATGTACTTAGTGATGAAAAGTAAACATGAAGAATAGTAATAGGAAGTTCCTTGTCATTGACAAGCTATTAGTGTGCTGTTAGTGTACAATTAGAAAAAAGAACAGGTTTGTCTCTAAGACCCTTTCCAGCTCCATGCTATGATGCTTTGCGAGTCCTGCTGTTTGAAAATACAGTTCTTTTCCACAATGAAATTTTTCTGGATTGAATTTATAGAATAGCATTAAAAGTCCAAGAGCCAATTAGGAATGTTGAGGGTAATTAAAGACCATCAGTGGTACTCAAAAAGTGGTTCATGGGCCCTCCCTGGTGGTGCAAAAAGTTAGTCGCAGCACTGCAAGCCAGACGCAGCCGCTTCAGTGCAATTTCCATCTCAGGCTTGGGAGGTGACCCACCTGGTGTGGCAGACCTTTCCTAACCCACCCGCTGCTCCCCTCAGCGGTGCATTTTCATTGATCTGCCTGCTCTGCTCCCCATTCCGTCTCTGATGAATCCTCTCATCACCCCTGCACCTCTGGCTGTACTCCAATTCTGGATGCATAAATAAATAAATCTTTAAAAAAGTGGTTCATTTCTCACTCATCTGTTAGTTTCAGGTATATGTGTTTAACATAATTACATAATTTCTGATTTTTTTCTAAATGACTTATATTGATCAGCTTTTTCTGTTTTCATTACCTATGTTCAATTTTTTCTTACTCCATAGGGAAGTTTGGTTGGTTTAGTGGACTATCCAGATGATGAAGAGGAAGATGAAGAAGAAGAAACATCTCCCAGGAAAAGACCTCGCCTTGGTTCATAAAATATTTACTGGGGGCCCTCAACATGTGGTCTTACTAAAATGCTGCAACTATTCAAGAGCTGAAAATCTGAATCAGAAAGCTTTCTCACTTGAACTTATAAATATACAAGGAGTAGCAAAAGATGCTCAGTACATCAGCTAGGAGAGTTTAGTTCTGTTTAAAAAACAAAAAAAAGAAAAAAAAAAAAAAACAGGCTTCCCAGGAACTTGATCGCTTGCTAGTAATTAAGGGGTTTGCCTTTCAGGCTGTCCAAACAAGGTTAGTAACCAGAACCTGGGAGATAGCTTCTTAGCAGGGAAACTCTCAGGTTTGGGGACGGTTTGGGGGAGGGACATGGTTGATAGAATATTAATGCAGGGTTGCTCCGGGGGTATCTGAAATAGAAACAGTTATAAAACTTCAGTTGCAAACCCAATAACATTACTTGTACAATGGTGCTGGCCATGTCATTCTTTTAATCAGTTGCCTCTTAAAAAAAAAGTAACGGAAAACAAACTCAGCTGTAATAAAAAATTAAGTTAAGCTGTTGGGACCATTTCTTTAAAGATTTAACAGAAATGCAGCCTCATAGGCAGTCAAGTAAAAAACACCCTATATTATAGCACATGTGTTTTCTACACCAGGGATTTTTGGTGTGTCTTTTGAAGAAAAACAAGCTGGATTCAAAATGGACAGTTTTGTTAATATTAAATCAGCACTCTTAGGGATAATAGATTCTAAGAATCAGGTACCATACTATTCAAAAATGATCTCTAAAAATGTTGGAATGTATTGAACAGAATGTTTTCAACTTCCTACCAGTACTGTCTCTTGTGGAAGATACTTTCAGGTCACTTTCTGCTTTGTTATTAAAAGTCGTCTCTCTTCAGGCTGCAGGCAAGTTTTAAAGTGCAATTTATAAAACTAACAAAGAATAGTGCTGAATTAAGTGGCATTTAATATATAGAGACCGTTTTGATCCAAGAAGTTACTTTAGTGTCAGTGTATGAGCACATAAGGCTTTTCCATAAACAAGGGTGTAATATAAAAGCTGCTTTTTAAAAGAGTAAAAGCACATTCCATGTACGTAAATGAATTTACAATAATAAATTGAGGCAAACAGTTAAGAAGTTTTATTTTTAGAACAGCAAGTTAACTGTAAATATTTTAATGTTAGTTTGCTCATCTATGATCTGAGATCAGGCTGAAGTGAAAATAACATCCCCCACACTATATTTCAGTACATTGGGGGGGGATCTAGTAGTTATTCCAGCTACAATCTTCAGATCACCCTTGTAATGTGTTATGGGTCCATTTTTCCTGGAAATAGCTTAAACTGAAGCAGTTTTCCCTGTTTTGGAGATTTTGTAGTTAGTTTTGATTTTGGCTATTGTTTGGAAAAGATGGGCTGTCTGTGTAGATATGAAGTATAGTTTTTCCATAAAACAGATGTTTATTTTGTATTAAAATACCACTGTACTTGTTTTACACCATTTGTATACATGTGGTGATATTAATGCTAAACTGTAAAATTCAGGAATTAAAATGTGACCCTGTAATTCTATGATTGTTGCTTTTGTTTGGTTTGTTGTAAATATAAGTTATATTCCATTTTGACATGTGTCCATTTTCCAGTACCTTTTTAAAGCCAGTAAAATTATCCATGGATATTTATTATAAGCTATTGGGTCATACACCAATCTGAAAGAATTTCTAAATAAATGCGGGTCAATTGCACTTTAAATATCACAGACTCTATCTACTTAGAGAGGATGTGCCTTCAACTAATATTCTCAACACCAAAGCATCACAGCATGGAGCTGTTTTCATGTCTTTGATTAAAGGTACATACAATGAAAAAGACCTTCCATCTCATAAGCAAGCGACTCAGGATATTTTAAATAAAGATCAATAAGGGTCTCCTACAAACACACTTTCTTTCTAAGAAGTTTTATCAAGCCTTCCACTCTTCTTAGCTTTTAGTAAATTTCTTCTTGTAATTTAAGAAGCCCAGACCTGCAGCATTTGATTCACTCTTGACTCTCCCTGATTAATTTTAAGTTCCAATAGGAAGTATTATCACTATATACTAGAGTTTCTTTTAATATTCCTGAGTAGCTACCATAAGTCTTAAACATTTAAATCATCTAAGGGGACTCTTCTTATAACAGAAATGTGAATGCTTTCTTGAATGACAGAATAATTTTCATGGTACATATGCTCATTCACAGTGGTAGAAGGACAATACTTAAAATATCCCTTGAAAAAACAACTATGAAGTTCACACATTAGCTGCTGTCTTAAATGACTGCCCTCAGGCAGATCAGGATTTTTTTTTTTAATCTTCATTCAATGAAGCCAGAGCCCACATTTGTATGCCTGAGGTTCTCTTAAAATTATATCTGTAAACATGTATCCAATATAAAACTATTTTTAATAAAAAGTTACATGAAACAGATTCCTGTGTTTTAATCATTAGTTGTTACTCTTGTTAACCTAAGTACACAAAAGTGTTAAATATATAGAGTAATCCTGGTTTCTTTCTGCAGGTTGAATGATGGAACTAAACTTAATGTTGGTATCCCTTCTTTTTTAAGTTTATAGATTGAAGGAAAGAAAATTAAATTACAAATTAAACCTTAAGAGGCCCATAATGAAAGGAAAAGGGGTGCTTGTGGGATGACAACACAAAGTTCCTGTAAGCAAGAGTTCCTGTTCTGATTATCCTGAATCAGCCTACAGGCTGCAAGATCACATACAAAAGACCGGAACCCACAGCAATATTTCCTTAAACAGGCTTGTCAATCATTCCCTTTATCAATTTTAACAGTAACTTTTCTAGGAAGAACTGAATATTTTTAACATAGGCCACATCTATAAAGTCTTGTTTGCTCCTGCCTCAAATGCAAAATTCTAAAAGTCCATCTTAACACCTCCCCAGATAATCACTCTTGGATTACCTTATAGACCCACAATTACTCTAACCCAAACATCTCCATACAGCATCCACAGATCTTCTGTAAATGATAATGTAACTCCACTACTATAAACTTCTGAGTACCCCCATTGCCACTTAAAATTGTAAATCCTCACCTACCGTACAAGCCCTAAAAATCAGTACCCCGATAATTTTTGCAAACATTCTTTCCCCTCATTCCATATATACTCCAGCCATAATGCCAGCTTCTCAGCCAATGCTTTATTCGAAAATTGTCTGGGCAGGCCTTGAGTTGTTCCTCCACTTTCTACCTATTGTTCACCTTCCAGTCAGCTTTAAACTATGCTTTCTCAAGGTTTGGTATGCCTTGCTTATAACACCACTTTTTCTTTTTACCACTTTGCTCTTGGACCTTTTGATTAGCCTCATGAAGACAGGACCCTGAATATCTAGTTTAAAGTTTCTGGCACCTAAATTTACGCTAGCATAAATAGGTAACCAAGTCTGAATGAATGAGTCTCTGCCGGAGACATTAAACTGGTCAACATGAGCAGCCTTCCCCACCACCCTTCAGCTCAAATGTTCAAACAGTAATGATAGTAATGACAGAAGTATTTGCAGCTTACAAGCTTAATTTAAGGATTAAATAATTTATTTTTAGGAAAATCTGAATTTTTGTTTTGCTAAATTGTTACTTATTAATAACTTCTTCTTTAAGTTTCTCTGCAAGTAATCTCCTCTTTATTAATGTCTGCTTCTCCTCTGCTGTCATTTCTGGTTTCTCTGTCATTTCCTTAAAAAAAATGAAAAGATAAAAAAATTGGCTATAGTTTAAAATGGGTTCATGTTTAAAATATCCAGCACAAAAGTATTTTAATAAATAATTTTAAAGTCACACATAGATTAAAAATCTTTAAGGGGAAGGCTCTTGAATGGGATGGCTAGGGTACTAATGCAGATATGTGATAAACCATTCAAAAGCATCAGATAAAAGGCAGCTGTCTCTTAACACAGCAGAACAAATAAACACGTCCTGCTTAAGAAAAACATTCAATAAAACTATCATTTCCACCTCTCAAAATCCTCATCACAAGCACCTCCTTGCCTAGAAAGGATTTAGGAGTTGCTTTATTAGTAGTGAGGTTTATGAGAATAGATATACAAGCAACATTCTATTTGGAGGCTTTACCGTCTGATTTTAAGACTCCAACTTTTGATTTGTAGACTTTGACATAACTATGGCCAGCCATACCTCTACCTCTGCAGGTTTTCCTTTCTGCTCTGAATTTTGTGTCTGCTTGGTTCTCATATCCTTTCTCATGGACATCAACTTATCTCTCTTCTGTTTGAGATAGTGTTCTCGCTGTCTGAGCTCTTCTGTTCCAAGTGTAGATAAATTCTGGGTCAAAAAAACACAAGGAATTATTTATTCAGTTTCAAGTCTACCAAACAATATGACACAGATACCCACTGACTGATCCAGAGGGTATGATCCTGAATTCAAGATCCTAACAGAAGTATAAGGTCATTTATATTGTTTGCTTCCAGTACTTTTATCATTTTGCTCATGGTTCTTTAAAAATAATGTAATTTACTTACAGCTATTGGTCCTTCAATACTCGCATGTTCTAAGCCAGGAATCTTCAGGCCTTTTTGAGGAAGGGAGGAAGTTTCAGGCAACATTTCCAACTTTCCTGCCAAAGGTTGTACTGACTGATTACCAAAATATACTTTAATTTCTGGCAGTAATTAGACAGAGAACAATTAGAATGCTGCAAGAAATATTAGGTATTAGGTAAGGCTCATCAAAATGAGAATTTTTTTCTCATATTCATTCCATCGATACAAAAGTGTCAACATTGTGCCAGGTAGGAACACTAAGTTTGATCTCTGTCCTCAAGAAGCCTTAACTACAATTTCTAATTATATTTCAACAAACACAAAGTTCCTGCTGTTTGTAAGGTACAAAAGATAAGAACGAAACAATAATGTAATAGAAGGGTGCCACATAAACAAAATAATCAGTAATTACCTACTAGTTTTTGGTTTCCAAACTTGTTTGCAGTTAAAAACTGTCAGTGACAGTTTTCAGAACAACTAATGTTAATTTTGTTTCAGAACAATATTGTTTTCAGAACAATTAATATCAATTTTGCAATTTTTAGTACTGGAAGGGTAAATGCCAGTAATAGCAATAATTTTTGCTTGTAATTGCATATGAAGATAACTGTAAATCTACCAATACATTAAGAAAATGTAAATATTTCAAAGTAGAACTTGGAAACAGATACAACATGAGCACTGAGTACTTTCTAGCTATTTAGGGACTGTAAACAATCAGGTTAACATGCTGATTGTTCCTGAGCCACTTCTAATAAAGCATTTTTTAAAAAGATAAAGCATTTTCAGTGAGTACATGGCCTATGAAATACAGCAGAGTGAGAAAAGCAAAAACATAAAAATAATGCCAAGAATTAAAAGCATAATGGGAGAAAATGATACATGTCTTCAAATGATAAAAAAAAAAAAAAATCCTGCATAGTAAAAGAAATCAAATTACAAAACTTGACAATATCAAGGCCACTACTATAGCATGAGTGGCATGACTAATGCCATAGAGGATGGGAGAAGAAAACCTCTTCAGTTTGCTGGACAGTAACAAACCAACCTATATAGAAAGCTACAAATGACCTTAAACAGAAATGATGAGCTTAGATAACATTATGTAGCTACCGCAGATAACAGTTAAACATGGCTCCTTATCGCTGAAGACAATTTTAGCAGAAGTGGCTTGACCCCCCAAATGTAGAATCGCAGAGATGGAAAAGTGACAGCTCAATTAATTTGACAGTGATACATTTTTTAATTAAAAAAAGGATGTTCATTTAATGCCATGATTAGACCTCAATTCCTGTTTCAAAAAAAAATTGTATTTTCTTATTAATTGGAGTAGATGGAAAGTGAATTTGCCACATATGGAATAAGTTCATCACTAACACTTCCAACCAGGATTCTCATCAATATTCATAGATTCTGACTAGACATCTGGATCCACTGACTACCTTATTTTCTAATTGTCCTTTCATTCATCAGAAAAGTAACAATGTTATCTTTCCAAGTTAAACATCTAACTAACAAACTCCACTTAAAGATCACCTCCCAGGTGCTACGTGAACATTATCTTGTATGCTGTGGCCATGGCACAAGGCTGGTGGTTCCCTCTCAGAATTCTTCTCACAACGGTGGGTTCCTGGTTTCACTAAGAAATTTAGATACCACTCATTTTGTCAGCTGGGTATATTCTGCCTACAACCTCTTCAGTTAAATTCACAAAGGGCTTTAAATACCAGTGGTTAGTCAATACTGTCTCCCTAGGTTTATAAAAGTTAAGTATGTATGAGAAATTAACACATTCAATACAGTATTAATGTAATCATATTATTAAAGAAATCTCAGTATACTTTAACCTTACCTGAGGGTGGGCGGGAAAAATGTTCGCCATCCCCTTGTGAATTATTCATTTTTGCAGTTTCACTGTTCTGTACTGAGGGCTCTTCTGGTTTATCCTCTGATAACTTCAGGAATCCAGAACACAATTTAAAAGAGGAAACTATTAATTTTAACTTAAGGGATCCAAAAATACTAGCTGGGAAAAAATTGCTGTCTACTAAATAATGAATCAGAGACTGTTCTTAAAAAAAAAAAGTTTTTTAAAGATTTATACATACATACATACATACATACATACATACATACATATAAGAACTGATGTACAAGCCGGAGGTGTGGAAGGTGAAAAAACTCACCAGAGACAGAGTGGGGAGCAGAACAGGCAGATCTCCTCAAATACACTGCTGAAGGGAGCAGCAGCAGGCGGGTCTGCCACGCCATGTGGGTCACCTCCCTGGGTGGGGATGGAACTTACGGTGTAGTGGCAGACTCATAGTGCTGTGCTTTTACCATTTCGCCACCAGGGAGGGCCCTATTTTTCCAACATTTTTTAAATGAGTCTGTATTTAATATCTTCTACTTTTTGAGGTAGGTAAACTTTCATTTCAAGCATATAGTAAGTACCAAGAGAAACCAAACTGGTATGATTAGGATTTTGGTTTTATCAAAAAGTAGGCTTAAACTCAGGCTTCACTCTGACTGCTCTGTGACCTTGAGCAACATGCTAAGAAATGTCGTAAATTATAAGGTGATTTTCCACATAAGATAATTTATATTCCACTCTTATAATACACCTGAGAGGCCACACATTGATTTATTCCCATTTCGAAAAAACGCAGTGTATTTAGACAAAAGAAATCTTTTAAGGTTTAGAAAAAGTTAAGTAAACTGATATTAATTCATTGTCCTAAAAACTAATGGAAAATCTAGATGCTTTATTGCTTTCAACTCTACTTTTGAATATTTGAAAATGTCCATAATAAAAATTCTTAAAACCCCAAAACATAAAACCCCTAAACCATAATAACAGTATTATTTAACAAGCCTATTATTGTTTACTTATAAATGAGACAGTTAACATAAATGTATTCTGGTAGCAAATTTGAACTGGTTTCTGGTCTATACTCCTACATGAAACAATATTACGATCTATGAATTTCACATCTATTGCCAGTTTTTAATTTACCCAGACATGTATAAATCAGTTCTTAATCCTAAAGTATCTGTTTTCTTCTATTCTTCATTGTGTACCTTGTAGGAAAATAGCCCTTCCAAGAGAGTAACTAATACAAACATGTGTCACAGTGATTGAAGGGGAAAAATGCAGAACAACTTTCGAGTGAATAAGAGAGTTTATATTAGGCCGCCATTTCCCTTCAGAGCAATTAGGGAAAATATGAGAAGAGACGCAGCTAGACAAGGGAAAGAAAAATAAATATTACCTCTTTCACCTCAAGCAGTTAGAAGTTTAATTTATCCTTAGGAACAATTAGGAACTTTATAAAAATAGTTTTTAATGAAAGAACAGTAAGTGAGGAAAAATAATATGCATTATTCTATTTCAAGCTGATAATGGTAAAGTCTGCAGGGGACCATTGGTAGTTACTGTTTCAAAACAGTAATGGAATCAGGAGAATAAAACAGTTTTCATAATCTTCTTCATGCATAAAGTTAAGGGAAGATTTTATATAGAATTTTTATATGGTATTATATTTTTTGGAGTTAACAGTCTTGGTCTTTACTGGGAATTTAAAACATTAGGTTGCTGGATTAATTATGACACAAAGTTAAGTAAAATTGCTAAAATTGGGCCCTCCCTGGTGGCGCAGCGGGTTAAAGCACTGCACTAAGAAGTTTAAGCCACTTCCGCATGAGTTCGATTCCCGCCTGCCCCACAGCAGATCCACATGGCGTGGCAGACCTCTCCTGACCCACCCGCTGCTCCCCTCAGCAGTGTACTTCTTAGATCTGCCTGTTCTAGTCCCCACTCTGTCTCTGGTGAATCCTCTCACCCTCCGCATCTCTGGCCTGTACCCCAGTTCTATGTGAATAAATAAATAAATCTTTTAAAAAAATTGCTAAAATTGCCAGGAAAATAAGAATTCTCTGAATAAATTATTGTTTATATAAAGCTTAAATTTCAATAGCAAAAACTAGGTATAAATTTAAGAGATAATAACACAAAATATTTCTGCTATGTATATTAACATGTTCTGTAGGCACCTGCTTTTTTCTTTTTCTTTCTTCTTCCTGGTCATATTCTTCTTTTGATTTTCTGAAATACACAGAAAGAAGGTAGAAGGTAAAATTTCATTATTTAATCAAAGGACAAATATTCAACTAAGCAACATGCTAACCTAAGCTTATACTATGTGCAAGGATTTTAGAAACAAAGATGGAAAATACCCTATTTTGCTTGAAGTGGCTTTCAATGAGCTGGAAACGACACGTAGAGACATATACAGCATAATGTAGTCAGCAAAATAAATTACACAAATTCAGAGTTACCAATTTCTTCTGGAAATGTGAGAACAAAACCAACAGGTCTGAAATCATAACTCAAATTTGAATGGCATATCCTATTAATATAGAATGTTCTCTCTTTTGTGAGAGAAATCAGGTATAATCCTCCTGGTCCATATTTCCCCTCATTCTAATTTTTCCAGTGGCATCTAGAAAACACACACACACACACACACACACACACACACAGTCTCTCTCCTCACAATCATTCAAATTCCTTGAAATTAGTACCAAGCTCCACAGCTCCATCTATAGTTTCCTGCTGGGCCCAAACTTCTATTCATTACACTGTCTTTTACCTTTGGTGATGGGGACCTGGAGTATAGGTCAGGAGATGACAGAATGCTAAAAAAAAAAAAGGTGGTTACATGTGTGCTAACAGCTTGAAGGAGGATCCCCAAAGGCTTAGGCTCCATTCTGCAGTTGGCTACAGGTATCCTTTTGCACTAAATATATATATTTCACAGGAGTCTTTAAAATTAGGTGTTTCAGGGCGCTCCCTGGCAGCACAATGGGTTAAAGTGTAGTACTACGAAGCTTGCCACAGCCACTCAGCACAAGTTTGACCCCCAAACAGGGAGGTGACCCACATGGCACAGCAGACTCCCTTCTCACCCACTGATCCCTTCAGCAGTGTAGTGTGTCGATCTGCCTGTTCTGCCCCCCACTCTGTATCTAGTAAATCCTCTCACCACCCCTGCACCTCTGGCCTGTACCCTAGTTCTGTATGTATAAATAAATCTTAAAAAAAAAATTAGGGGGCCCTCCCTGGTGGCGCAGCGGGTTAAAGCACAGCACTAAGAAGCTAAAGCCACTTCCACATGAGTTCAATGCCCGCCTACCCTGGAGGTGACCCACAAGCCGTGGCAGACCTCTCCTGGCCCACCCGCTGCTCTGTTCCCCACTGTCTCTGGTGAATCCTCTCACCACCCTTGCACCTCTGGCCTGTACCCCAGTTCTGTCTGTGCAAATAAATAAATCTTTTTTAAAAAAAAATTAGGTGTTTCAATCACTCCTCCTTCCCAGAACTCCTACAGGGAGAAGGGGACAGTAGGCCCAAGGGGAAAAGAAACAATCTTTTAGGAAACTGCACACTCAAGCTTTCAGCTGAGAACCATATAACTGGGTTAAGGATAAGACTATAACACAGTCATCTGGGATAGAGGCTTCCAACTGCCCTCTTTACCCTGAAGGTTATCTGTCCCTACTTCAAGCTTTTCAGTCTGTGTCATCTGCATGTCCAGTTTCCTACTCTAAGACACCTGGCTTGAGCCACCTCTAATACAAAGATCCAGAAGCCATGAAACTTCTTGGTCAGCTCAGGCCACTAACACTCCTTTCTAGGAATAGGCAGTTACTATGCAACTTGTTCCGCTGGTGGCCAGTTTCTTTGTTCCATTATGGGGGTAGATCCCATTTGGGCTTATCTGGTATGAGTCATGTGAAAATAATTTTTCCATCCACTAAGAAACATATACATAGTAATTGCTTCTCAGCCTTTGGCTAAGATTAAATTTAGAAATATATATAAAGAACTAAAAATGGAGCCTCCATATGACCCAGCAATTCTACTCCTAGGAAATTTACCCAGAGGACACAAAAACATGAATTCAAAAGGACACTTGCACCTCCATGTTTATTGCAGCACAATTTACAATAAGTTATGGAAGAAACCCAAATACTCCAAAATAGATGAGTGGATCAAGATGTTTATGTACACAATGGGATATACTCAGCAAGGATAAACTGATGTCCTTAGCAGCAACATGGATGGACTTGGAAGGAATCATGTTCAGTGAAATAAGCCAGAAGGAAAAAAAAAAATAACGAATGATCTTACTTATTGTAGGGATGTAGAGCAGTCAAATGAGGGATCAAGAAAAAAAAGTAGCTATAATAAAGTAAAAATCAAAATCACCAGGCAACTATAGCTCATAGATAATTCAGTAGGGGAGGAGGAAAAGAAGGATCAGGACAGGAGTGGGAAGAGCATAAGGGACTACGGTGATGGTGCACAGTGTACTGGTGGTAGGAATTTCATGGGGAAATCACACACTGTACAAAAATGAAGGATGCTGTAATAAATATACTTTTTAATATATTTTTTAAAAGAAATAAAAAAAGAAATAAAAACCAATTATTTTCGTGGTTTTCAGGTAGAGTTTAAATTTACAAATTTATAATATTCTAGGAGCAAAAATTATGTGTGTGTACATAGAGAAAGAGACAGAGATAGAAAGAGATCATATTACAATATTACTAATGAGTCATGCAAAAATTAAGAAAAATACCTTAGAACTTCCCTCAGGATTTTCATTTCTTCTTGTTCAAGGTCACTGACCACATCACTACCATCTGTTAGGCAGTCAGGTAATACACCTGTTCAAGATCAAAGCCCAGATGGAAGAATATTACCTCGACTGAAAACATTTCTCTCTCATTTTCTGGTTCACAAAGGAGTATAAATTCACTTACTAAGTTCAACAAGATTTACTAATTAGTTATTAAACATATATTCTAACTATTATCTTTTTAGCTATGGTTTTTTAAACTTTTTTCTTGTCTTAGTTTATCAGGCCCACCAAAAAAGTCACAGTTTTATCTAGAGAGGTCCCTCAACAATTACTTGTATTGCCCATTGAAAATAACAAAAATTAATATAAACTATTATCACCTATAATCACACAGTGTTCTAAAGATATACCACTGAAATCATTAAGCTGCTAATAATATAAACTATTATCACCTATAATCACATAGTGTTTAAGGATATACCACTGAAATCATTAAGCTGCTAATAATGGAACAAATCGTGCTCTTAAAAGTATCCCTTAAATGGGAAGAGAGTTTACAAAGCAAAGCATAAAATGCCTTGTGTTAACTGAAATAGCATGTTAATACATTTCATTCAAAGGACTACAAATGCTTTTGAAAAGGACTCTGCTTACCCTATATGCAAAATCGCTGGAGATATGAAGAGGAAAAAACACTCTCTACCCTATGAGTTTCTATTCATACATTGGTCTAATAACTATAAACCAGGGCAGTACCAACATAGGCCCAAGGCAAATAACCTATAGCAAGTAATTTTAAGTATTGGTTTAATTTACTTTATTACCTACATCTCCCTGATAATGAGCTGGTCATCTGTTCTGTTCATATCTATAATTATCATATTCCCCCAACATTAGCAGCATGTTTCTTAATTTTTACCTTATAACTCTTTATCTACATAGGACTACGGGGATTTGGGGTCTGCTCTAAATTAAAGATGCTTTATTATTTTAATCCCCATGACGTTTAATCAATTTTTAAATTCAACTTTTTATTTTGAGATAACTGCAATGGTACATGATATAACCCTTTACCCCTGTGTCCGTGAGCAGTGTCATATTATACATTCTAAAAAAGTACCACAGTCAAAAAACAATCTATCAATCTCAAATGCATTTTTGTTCAGTCAACGATACTTAGTATTCTCCTAATAATTTTCCTGAGGAAAATTAAAAGAACAAAGCAATAGTATGCAATAATTCAAAACCATGAAAATAATGTTAACTTGTATCTTCATCAAATTTGTTAAGATTAACCAGGGATCCAGAAAGTCTTTGAATCTTTCTCACCATAAAGATGACTTTGTGTTGTCAAATGTTGCAGTTTTGATTATAAGCAACAGGATCTAGGTACTTACCCTGGATCTAAGTTAAGAAGCATTCTTAAAGTATTAAAATTCTGTGACTAAAACTAAGTATTCATAGTTTATGTTTAAATGTAAGCAACTTGGTTCACCCCATGATTGAGAGCAGTCATTCCTCACATCAACCCTTCACCACCCTTTACTAATATAATCCAGGTTTATGCAGTTATCAGGCAAACAGCTATTCAGAAGACCCCACAACACACTCATGATTGGTGTAAGCTGACCATAATGGCTTTAAGAAAGGTGATCCCCACTTGCCCCCATCATGACAATGCCTAAGGAAAATATTCCTGAGATTGCTAACAAAGAGAGAGGTAACATGGGAGAGGGGGAATCCCATTTCTTCATGAGACACTGTTAGTATAAATTCCATGCAGCCAAAGTGAAGTCATGAGAGAAGACTGAAAATGGCAAAATAAAAAGATGGAAAGTATCAGGGTACTGGGTATCATCACTGAGCTGTTAAATCAATCAACCCTGAACCTGTCTTCCTTGCCTCCCTTTCTCTGGACTTCTTTTACAAGAAGGTAGTTTCTTGCTATTTATGCATTTTCCTGAAGTTTCTGTTATTGGCATCCTGAAGCATCCAGTAGATACAAGCAATATGCATTTGTTTCCTTTTCGTGGAAATCTACATGAATTTCTAATTAAATTCCTAAGTTAAAACTAGAATGCCAATATCGGCTAGATTTTTTTTTAATCAAAATTGATTCCTCCAAAACAGTTTCAACTAACTTAAATAACTATTCAAAATGTCTATTCTATAGGTCAGAATAAAACGCAACTTCAGGAAATACCAGCGAAAAAGATTACATAGACAAGTACACAGTGTATGTATGCATCACTCAGGACTAGGTTGCTACTAGTTTTGTTCACAGAAAACAGCTCTCTGATCTGCTGTCAAGAAAACTGGATTTTAGGAAATGGATGGAGCCGTTAGATCTACCATAACCTATAAGGGATAGTCTCTACTACATGAGACAAGTAAGAGGAGATCCACAATAGACCCTGCAACACGCTAGTGTTTGCCCTCCAACAAGAGAAGCCCTATGGGTTTCAGACTCTTAAAACAAAACAGTATGATTGAACTACAGCTTCAAGAAACAAGCAGAGGAAAAGATCTAATGCTACACCAGTAAAGAGGATATAGGCAGGGTAAAGAATATCAGCAACAAGGAAAAAGAACAAAGGGAAACTTAAGTGTTAAGGTCGGGTTACCAGAATCAAAAATCTGAAACAGAGAAAAGAACTTGGATTGCAAAGGAGATACAAACCAACAAGAAACAGAAACCCAGATGTTTAGTCATTATGTCCATTGAAGTTCAAAAATAAACACAAAAAGAGAACAAAAGCAGGAAGAACTAAAGAGAAGCTGGGGTTAGGCAGAGTCAGGAAAAGTTAAAACCAAAGAGTTACCAAAACTTAGAATTGTTTTCTTTTTCATGTGATGGTAGTTCAATCATATCTGCCTGTTGCCCTAGTAGCTTTCATAGGGTGGTGGGCTCCTTCACACAGCATAACCTGGGAATTTATTTTAAAAATGCAAAGGATCTAGTCCCACTACAGATCTGAATGCAAAACTAGCATACAGCAGTATATAGTTCACAAACTTACACCTGCTTCCAGTGCTCAAATAAAATATGAAAACCACTGTCTCCTAGAAAGGTCCTAACCACAATAAACCAGAAGAACAGTAGTCACCTTCTCTCACTAGTAATTCTAACTGTGATCCCTTAAAAATACTGAATTTCACAAACAATGGCTATACAGAAAATCAAGCTCTCTGAAGCCTAAAACATCATTTATTGAATCAATTCTGGTCTGTGTTCCTTGTGATGTAACACACACATTGCTTGGGAAGTTTATACTCTTGAATCTCTTAAGTCAGTCACAGACATTCAAACATGTAAAACTGTGTTAGAATCAGAATCATCAAAACTGCAAAAAAAAAATGCATTTAGCACTTAGATTTCTAAACTGAACATTTTACCATTTCTCTCTTGAATTATTCGAATGGCTTGCAGCTGCATTTCAATGTTTTTCTGAACCATCATTGCCTTAAAGATAGTAAAGTCTTCTGCTGCCAACACGGGTTGCAAAATGGCCTGTGGGAAAAAGTCTGAAGATTAAATGAAGATTCGAGTTTTTTAAACTATTTTCCACACATTCATATCATGTCCATTATGAAAGGTGCATTAATTCAAAAAAACTACATTATTTCTAGGTTAAGTGACTCAGAGCAATTTTAAGATTTTATTCTAAAAGTCCTTAAAATAGGGTTCTCAAGAGGTTGACTCTACCAATTCCCAAACCTCCAGGAAGCTAAGGTTGACAATGATGTATTTTTCAAATGAGCCCGTACTAAGTCACTGAAGGAAAAAAAAAAACCAAACCACAGGGATTGAGCTTATTTCTTTTAAATTTAACCACTTCAATATGTGGATTTGTTTTTCAATCACATGAGTATCTATTTGATGTGACATTCTGTCACATGAAATTTAATGTCCAGGGGCCATCCCTGGTGGTGCAGCAGGTTGGAACACAGCACTGTGGAGCTGGTCGTGGAAGCTTGAGTGTAAATTCGATCCCCCACCCAGGAGGTGATCCACATAGTGTGGCAGACCTCTCTGACCCGCCCACTGCTCCCTTCAGCAGATGCTGAACTCCCTATCCTGTTCCCTACTCTCTCTCTGGTGAATTCTCTCACTGCCCCTGCACCTCTGGCCTGTACCCCAGTTCTGCATGTATAAATATTTTTTTAAAAAGAAATTTAATACCCAATGATATAGCAGTAATTATAAAACTATCCCTTCACAAGTATAAATACCAAGATAAATGCAATAAAAATGTCAGAAAGTGAAATCTGAAAAAACAAGTGTAATGAGGGATTAATAATGTAAGAACTGGGCCTCCCTGGTGGGGTGCACAGAGATTAACAGGCAGCATTATAAAGCACTACCAGCCAGGAGCTGACCCACATGGCGTGGCAGACCTCTCCTGACCCACCAGCTGCTCCCCTCAGCAGCGTACTTTGTCAGACTTTGTTCTGCTCCCCACTCTGTCTCTGGTGAATCCTCTCAACCCCACCCCCACACCTCTGGCCTGCACCCCAGTTCTTGTATGCATAAATATTTTTAAAAACAACAATAATGTGAGAATGCAACTGCAGTTGTTTTTTATATAGAAAGTTTCATGGAAGAGATTAAGTTGGAAATTATGCAAAGTAATTCTCTGGATGAAAAAGAGTAATGAATCTAGAAAAAAACCAAAGGTGTCTACTCTACCCTAGAGTACCTAACACAAGCTATGCAACCTTTGTCGACAGACACGATATGGATGGAGGGGAAATGCTCTGATAAATCAGACTTTCCATGCTAACTTATGTTATGACCTCCCTTTTTTGTATAATCATAATATCAATATTCTGAGCAACCTTCAGTTTACCACTGGATTGCCTTAGCCTCATAAGGCGCTACCTGGCCCAGACAAGCAAGCACTGCACCAGGGTGAGAAATTTCTCTTGAAGTCAAAAGTGATTTGACAACTGGCTGATCAATAAAAGCAATTGGCTGTTACTGTAAAGTCAATATTGAGACAATACTGGAACATACTCTTTTACTGCCTGGATGGACTATAACCCAAATCTTATCACTCACTCTACTATCTCACAAAGTCTTCTATTCAGTTTCTAAAAAACTACTTAAACTTTCTACTATCTAGTCTTTAGATATGGAAATTCACCCAAGTCGCCTATTCAGAGCTAAATCAGGTTTTCTACCAAGTAGACTTCAAGGAAATTCACTTAAACTTTCAAACAAGTTTTCAAAGAACTTTACTGTAATTTGATTTACAAGAAATTTCCTCTTCCTGCCTTCACTTTATCCCCTAGGATGTCTCAATGAGAATGAAAGTCTTTAAGTAGTAGATAAGGTTTAAGGGACTTTATTTTGGTTAATCTTCACTGTGGTAAATATAGTAATATTACTCTTAAATTTTGTAAATCTATATACCTGTTTTAGCTTTGGTAGATTGATTTTAAAAATAATGTTATAATCTCAACTAAAAGTCAATTCGACCCCTACGGTTCTAAAAAGAAAGTGATCTCTCAGCCCAATTCACATGCTAGTATCATCCCACTGCTTGCTTGAAATGTATAAAATAAACCTCTGCTGAAGCCAGAGCAGGAAGACTTGCACCCAACTCGGATTCCAGTGTCTTCCTGGCGCCTGCTCCCCTTTTTCCCCTTTTCCAGGAATCTCCGGTCGCTTACGCCGCTGCCACCTTGAGACCCTGCCTGTTCTGCCCCCCAATAATCCGTGGTCCGGGACAAAGGGTCTCTGACAAGTACCCAAATTAACATTTCCTTAACTGCTAAGAACTATAGCTATATCAAAGAAAAAAACAGTTCAAGCTAATTAATAAGGTGAATAAGACTTGAAACCCCCCCCAAAATCGTATTTTACTAATCTTACTAAAACTCTATTTCAAGCTTTACATAATAGTTGACCACACAAGCCAGCAGAGAACCAAGGCAATAATATCAACAAAAGAACCATGAAAGAGGAGGAAGAAACCCTTCGAAAGGCAACCAGCTCATATCTTTGACAAATGCGGTACAGCAAACCTAATGCGAAAAAGCAGCTAGCTCGCTGTGAAAATGTATAAGGAGTCAACTGTGCCAAAAAAAAAAAGTTGCAAGGTTTATCTTTAAATTCACACATACTGTTCTAAAAGCATAGCACAGAGAACAGTAAATAGGCTTTATATGTGTTTTGTTGGAGCCCAGAGCTCCGAACTGAAAATAACTGTAGGTAATGTCTGTGGTAGATTATTAGTGTCTGCCAGGGCCCCCTTATAGGATTATGCCACCCCATAACTTTGTTCTGGGGCTTCCTAGACTTTTAAAAATATCAAGTACTATCCTCATTACTAACAAATATTTCACAGGCATCAAAAGATGGCAATGTGTCAACCAGAGCTTACCAGGTCAAAATTTAAAGTGGGTATTTAAAGATGCAATGGCAGGACTCCTCAAAATTGTGTTCCCTGACCCATTTAAGAAATGCAGGAAACAATGCATATTTCTGATCCCTATCCTAGATATAAATTTCTAGAGGATGGGTGCCCACATACCTTCCCGACAATATTTACAAGATTTGTTGGAGTGACCAAAGATTTGCTGACAAGGACTGAATTGGGGCGGTAAAGAATTTTGCCTTGCATCCAAGCTTGATAAAGTGGTAATAAAACTGACCTTGAGATCCTGGATGGGACTAGCTGAAGGAGACAGGGAACTGGGCCTCACATCAAGGACACAGCTATGAGTCACCCCTTGGGAATCTGAGTTTAGAATCTATATAAGAGACCCTTCCCCCCTACTGAGTTGGCAGCAGCTGTCAGGGAGCAATAAACTCTGCTTGCTCAGCCTTTCTGCCTCTCGCCTTCCTTTCTTGCAGCCCTTGCAGTCGGTCACAGAAGTTGGGACAAAACAAGATTAATGTCTGCAATCAGTACTACACTGGGGAAGAAACCAGTTTCTTGATATCAAAAGCCTACTTCCAGTTAACTATGTGACTCTGGACATACCATTTAGTCCTGTGAGCTTCAGTTTCTTCATCTGTAAAATTAGTATTACAGTATTTTTCTTGAATTTTACACTCTACAGATTAGCAAAATAAACTATTCTTTAATGTACCAGTAAGAGAAAAGCCTCCATATAATTACAGCATGCCATTATAAAAAGCATTTGTATTTCAGGTGTTATAAAATGAAACTTCTGTATTATAGAATGAAGGAGATATAGTAATAACTCCCTGGTTGGGTAATAGATGAGAAAATATGCCAATAAAAAAATATTTCTGAACCTTTTAAGGTTGAATATCAAATGGTGTGTTAAATTTAACACCTTTTACAGTAATTGGGCTCTTCTATTCCAGGGATTATCCCTATACTTAGACCTTTCAATATGGGCAGTCAAAGAAACTGAATACAAGAGTTACCCAAAACAAACAAGCAAACTAGCAGTCACTTTAAAAACAAGAATTTTAGATGTTTCATTTAAAAGAAGACTATGAAGTAAAGCAAATCTGATGGCTCTATATTTGAGAAAAGCACAGCAACAAAAAATGAACGGTGAGACTAAGAATCTGACTTATGTAAGATTAAAAGACATTCAAATACATTTACACTTAGGTTATCCTATCATTATCTTTAAGTAGGCCAAATTCTGAAATGTAAAGTGATTTCACACATTTATGGTGCTCCATTAACAGACAAAACAGCAAGGAGGAAAAGGCGAACTCACTATAACTGTTGAAGACCGTCTCAGTAACGGACAGATTAAGAAAGCAGAAAATCACGAAGGGCATAGTGGAACTACAGCACCTTCTTCCAAATAGATGAGATTGCCATTTATAAAACACCTCACTCAACAACACATTCTTCTCAAAGTCACACAGAACATTCACCAAAACAGACCACATTCTGAGCCATAAAACCAACCCTAATAAATTTAAAAGAGTACAAGCCACAGTAAGTATGCTTGCAGACTAAAATGGAATTAAACTAGAACAGAAAGATAACAATAAAATGTAAAATACTCTGAGATTAGGTGTCACACTCTAACATATAAGTCAAAGAAGTAGACACAAGAAAATTTTAATAAATACTTCTAACTAAATGAAAATGAAAGTTCACCCTATCAAAATGTCTATCAAAACAGTGCTAGGAGAAAAATTATAGCACTGAATGTAAAATTTAAAAAGAAGATCTAATGATCAATAATTCAGTTTCTACCTCAGGAACTAGAAAGAGAACAAATTAAATGCAAAAGGAGCTTAAGTAAAGAAGTAATGTAAACGAGAAAGAAAATAAATAAAATTGAAATAAGAAAACCAACAAAGAAAAATCAGCAAAACCAAAAGTTGATTTTTCTGAACAGAGCAATAAAATTGATAAATTGCAAGTATCAGAAATGAAGAAAGGGCGATCACTATGTACGTTAAAATAATAAAGATTTCAAGATATTAAAAAGAAAATAAAGGATATAATCCAAATAATTCTATATGCACAAATTTGATAACCTAGATGAAATGGATCAATTCCT